AGTAAAGTAATAATGATTAGTATGATTCTTACATGAATTCTTTATTTGAAAGCATGGTTACTGAGTCTAGAGACACTTTAAATTATATAATGAGATGCATGTTACAATGAGGAGATATCAGGTGGGTTCTGTTCCGGGTAGACTTGCACTCCCTGACATACTTCACCCTTTTAGACATCTTAAGCCCCATGCCATTGCTCAAGGGTTTGCTTTGGTTTGGGGATAGGGTTGGAGTGTTGTGAATGGAAGTGAACAAAGCCATGGAACACTCTGATCATCGTTCCTGCCAAGTAGTCTATGGCTCATGGGCTGGCTGCAAATCAGGGAGACCTGGGACAATTGACTTCAAGGTGAAGACAGAGTACAGTTCTTGGTTGGATGGTGGCTAATGGTCTGTGGGCACAGATGGGACTCTGGGATACTGGTAGAAGAAGTACTTGCCTCTGTGCAAAACAGATTTATGTGTGGATGCTTCACCCTTCCTGTCTACAAAATTCTTCTGGGTAATTACTGTCCATCTACAGGCCACCCACCTCTCAATCTTCCTCTTTCCTTTGTCTTTTTCTTCTCACAATTCAGAAAGTAAACTCTACAGTCATAGAAAGGGGAGTTTGAACTCAAACTTGAAAGCAATTTATTTTTATTCCTCTGAGAACCATAACAATAATCCTGCAAAACTTAAACTAGACTCTATTGTTCTCTCAGCCTTTCTGCTTTTGTCTAGGAACAATATTTTGAGGGGGGGAAGAATATTGACCTTCAACTCACATCATACGCAAACTAAATTTGAGATGAATCATAGTCTTAAATGTAAAGTGAATATTTAAAAGAAAGCTTCTGGAAAAAAATAGATGAAATTTTTATAATCTTAGTGTGAAAGGGATCTCTCATGCACTGATCATGAGACTGAAATTGATGTCGCCATCATGAAAAACATTATGGAGATTATTACCATTCAAAATAAAAAGAAAACTACCATATGATTCAGCAATTCCACTTCTGGGTATTTAGCCAGAAAAAAAAAGAAAACACTAACTCAGAAAGGTATATGTAGTACTATATGCATTGCAGCATCATTTATAATAACCAGTATATAAAAACACTCTAAGGGTTCATTGACAACTGAATAGATAAAGAAAATGTGACATATACACTGAGTGGCCAGATTATTATGATCTCTAAACATATAATAATCTGGCCAAACAGTGTATATATATGTATAGTATATAATACTCAGCCATAACCAAAAATGAAACCTTGCCATTTGCAACATCATGGATGGACCTTGAGAGCATATGCTAAGTGAAATAAATCGGAACAGAGAAAATCAAATACCATATGGTCTCATATGTGGACTAAAAACAAAAAAAACAAGCCCATTTATAAACAGAACTAGAGGCCCGGTGAACAAAATTTGTGCATGGGAGGGGGAAGGGGTGTCCCTCAGCCTGGTCTGCCCCCTCTTACAATCCAGGACCCCTCAGGTAGGGTCCCTAGGCTTGGCTGGAGATCAGGGCCTAACAGGGCTTTCCTTCCCCCAGCTGCTGGCAGCTGGCCCTGCTCTCATCACTCCACTGATTGCCATTTGTGGGGCATTGGTTCCCGTCCCCTGCCACTGGTCGCCTCCCTCTTTGGGCAACAGGTGTGGGGTGTGTTCACTTGGCTGGCCTGGGCTTTCCTCTATGGGCAATCTATCATGGGGCTTTGTGATCCATGGCTCTGCAGAGGGAGGCCACTCCCACCCACTGCAGCGCTGCTGGCCTGGTAGCCTGGGCCTCCCTTTTTGAGGAGATTGTGGAGGCTCCCCGCCCTCCTCAACAATCGATTTCCTTGTGGGCCAGTGGCCTGGTCCTCCCTCTGCAGGGCGATTGTGGGGCAATAGCCGGCCCCTGGACCAATGGCAATGCACCCACCTTGGCTGGCCTGACACCAGTGCGTGTCATAGCAAGGTTGTCCAGAAGGTCATCGGACTGTCGTTCTGCTGTACAGTTGTTCATTCAATTTGCATATTATACTTTTATTATTATAGATTGGGGGTTGCAAGAGGCACCGGATGAGGAGTAGCAGAAATCAGTAAAGGAAATCAGAAGGTACAGTCTTACAGGTATAAAATAAATAAGTCATTAGGATGTAATATAAAGCATTGTACCTAGAGTCAATTATACCGTATTGCATATTTTAAAGTTGCTAAGATAGCAAATCTTAGAAGTTCTGATGACAAGAAAAATATTCTGTAACCATGTATGGTGGTGAATGTTAACTAGACTTACTATAGTGATCATTTGCAATATATACAGATATCAAAAGGCTATGTTGTACACCTAAGTCTAATATGTTATATGTTAATTATAATGATAAAAAAGAATTGAAATATTTCACTAATTAAAATGTCATAAAGTGAATCAGGGGGTGTTTTGGTGAGCAGTGTACAAGGGTGATTTCTTTCCTGGATTCTTGTCCAGATGGATTTGATGAATAAAGGCAAGGACAAAAGTGATACGTGAGAAGTACAGAAACTCTATTGCAAACAGACACTAACTCTAGAACTTATAATCTGAAGTTTCTATTCCTAAGATTGTCTCTTGTCTGTTCATGTTGGAGCAGCTTTTGATCTGCCTAATGGTTGCTTTAAGACCTAGCAACCATGTCTTGCCAAGCCTTGAGAACTGAAACCGCTAGCTTTTCTTCTCAAAGAGTAAAACAGCCTTTTTTTTTTTTCCTGGCCAGAGATGTTTTATTACCCCTATGGCTCTCCCAGCTGCTCAGGCCAGGGCTGCTTTTGATCTAACTTATGGCTGCTTAATTGTTCAGGCCAAGATGCCCCTATTCTCTCTGGATCCCCCTCCCTTCCTGTCTGCCTAATTAAGCTAGCTAGCTACCCTTATCAAAAGCAAAAAGCAAGACATCAACTAAGAAAAAGTAATTACAATGCAAATATCAATCAAAGAACTCCTATGCAGATTATATAAAGAATTTCCTTGCCTGGCTGGTGTGGCTCAATGGTAGAGCATCAACCTATGAATCAGGAGGACGTAGTTCAATCCCAGTCAGGGCACATGCCAAAGTTCCAGGCTCGATCCCCAGTCGGGGGCATACAGGAGATACCCAATCAATGATTCTCTCTCATCATTGATGTTATTTCTCTCTTCTTTCCTCTCTGAGATCAATAACAAATTTTTTCTTAAGATTGAAAAGATTTTTCCTTAATTCATCAATTTTCAACCTTCTTTTCTCAAGGCACACATAAAGTAATTACTAAGGCTGCTCTTTTAAGAATTAGTTAATGTGTGTCATGAGATAAAAAAAAAAGATTGAAAATTATTGCCTTAAATCAATCTCACATACTGAAAAGTTATACCCTTTAAAAATACCTCCCTGCCCTAACCGGTTTGGCTCAGTGGATAGAGCATCAGCCTGCGGACTCTAGGGTCCTAGGCCTGATTCTGGCCAAGGGCATGTACCTTGGTTGCAGGTACATACCCAGTAAGGAGTGTGCAGGAGGCAGTTGCATTTAAAAGAAAAAGTCCCCAAAAAGTTTTTCAAACAGCCTCACCTGAAAACAAAAAGCAGGGAAACTGCACAGAATTCATAGTACTAAACAGAAAGTAACTGTTTTCTTGATATCTAGTCTATTCCTGAAACTAAGAGCTTGTTCCTGCTTCCACTTACAAAGAACATGTTCAATACAAAAACTTTCCTTTTGTTCTTAATCGACACAAGATATTCCTCACTCATGAGAAAAACAAGAGCCAGAGATTTTTAATTTATAAAAGGGCTGATCAGGCTGTCTAAGGTAGTGAGGATGAAGGGAGACTCAGCACCAGTACTTCAGTCCACATTTGCAAACACAGAGCCATGGATGAACCTAATTTGATCTTCATTGTGCATGGGAGGGGGAAGGGGTGTCCCTCAGCCTGGCCAGCCTCCTCAATGTGACTCAATGAACTTCTATCAACAAACCAGTAGCCCTGGCCACTGCTGCTCAGTAAGTCAAGTGTTGTCTCCTGCAGCAAAAGGCTGCAGGTTCAGTTCCAGATCAGGACATTTGCCCAAGATGTGCACTTGACCCCTGCTAGAGGGCCTGTGGGAGGCTGTTTGGCTCTCATGTTGGTGTTTCTTTCTCTCTCCCCCTCCCTTCCTCTCTTTCTAAAAATCAAAAACAACCAAACGAGAGCATCACATACCTTTAAAATGTATTTACTGGTGTGTGAAATGCAAATAATAAAACCTCCATTATATGCATGAGCTGAAGAATAAATTGAATGTAGTTAATGACACCTGCAAAGAGTTTAGAACCACAGCAGTGTTTGCATTTACTACCTGTTTGGTGATTGTGACACTAGAGACCCAGCACATGTGGGGTTTGGACCCCATACTGCACAGCAGAAGGATGTGCTAGACCAGGGGTGGGCAACCCCTGGCACGTGTGCCAAGCATGGCACACTAGTAACTTTTGCTGGCATGCGAAACCCTCTCTTATAATCTTCCATTTACAATTTTTTTCTTAATATCGACTTTTTTATTTTTCAGATAAATTCAGTGTAGGTGCATCTTAGATAAATAAATAATATTACAGAACATGTGTACATTAAAAAATAAATGTATTTTTCATCATCATATACTGTGTTTTTGTCGCTCAAATGAATTTTATTATTTCTTCAAGGTTCTATCATCATATACTGTGTTTTTGTCGCTCAAATGAATTTTATTATTTCTTCAAGGTTCTTCACATACGTACACCTTAAGAGATATCAAGTAGGAGTAACATGTTCTCAAAAAATTAGGGTTGGCACGCGGAAGAATTTTGAGTCAGAGGTTTTGCTGGTTTTGGCACGCACTCACAAAAAGTTAGCACCCCTGTGCTAGACCATTGCTGCATTTTCTTTTTTTTATCCCTCTCTTTTTTTTCATTTTACTGAGCTGAATAAAATGAAATCGAATGC